CAAAAACTTAAAACTATTTCAGAAAAATCATAAGATGTGGTTAGTGGAGAGGACTCCAATACATAGATATAATCCAAAAACCAGAGTAGACAAACAAAGCAGGATAGCCTATCTTGAAATAATTAATCACATGTTTGCTTAATTTGTCAAAGAGTTGAAAACATGGTAGAGAAGGAACTCAACTCCCCCCTCAAAAATCCCCACCTCAATAACCCCTTGTAGATTTTGATATTTCTCTGGCCAGCTAATTGCTGATTTTGAGAACTGGATCATAGCTGGCATGTTTATTAAGATCTATAATAAGTTCAAAAATTTGAGATTTGGCATTTTATGCAATAGCTATCAATAGTAGGATATGAGAGGCCACTAAGTGGTGAGAGGTTGAGGACCTTTTCTTGAATGAATCTACAAGTATTATGAAGGTGTGCTTTAATTGCCAAAAAAATATTAGCTGGCTGATTTTATGGTAGGCTACAAAGAAAGTGGACCTCAACATCTAGAAGAAGTTCTATATTAATAATTTTTGCTTCTAGGAGTATATAGGACAGAAGGAAGTAAGTGCCAAATATTTGCTTTTTGACATAATTTCTTCTTTTAACCATATTGAATTCAACACCCAAGTTTTGTTTTACTAGGTCCTTTTCGATTATTTTGAAAAGTTTATAGAGTGATAGTTCTAGTCTCAGAAGAAAATCAATATAAGCAGCAATTTGAATCTAATTCTACAACTTATTTGAATTAAAATTCATCCATTTTGATGACCATTTTTCTTCATAGAAAGGACTAGAATCTATGTCGGCATCTCTTAAATTAAAGAATGATTAAAGTACAAAAGTTAGTACATGTACAAGGCAATTGATGTAACGACCAGGCCGATCATTTTGAGTGTATTAGCCCTGATCCCCTATTTACTGTTTTCTCGTATATGTTTCTGCTTATGTGACTTGTCGGGAGGACTTGTTTTTGGTTTTGGAGTGTTTTGAGACACTTAGTCTCTTAATCGGAAGCTTAAGTCTCAGGATTTTAATCGTAATCGGAAGTGTGAAAAAACGACTATGGAATGGAGTTTCGTTAGGTGATTTTGGACTTAGGAGCGCGTCCGGAATGTGATTTGGAGGTCCGTAGTAGAATAGACTTGAATTGACGAAAGTTAAAATTTTGGCAATTTTGACCGACAGTGAAAATTTTGATATCAGGGTCGGATTAGATTTTCGAAAGTTGGAGTAGGTCCGTAATGTTGAATATGACTTGTGTGCAAAATTTGAGGTCAATCGGGCGTGGTTTGGTATGATTCAGCATCGTTTGTAGAATTTGAAAGTTTAGAAGTTCTTTAGGCTTGAATCCGGGTGTAATCGGCGTTTTGATATTGTTTTGATGGATTCGAAGGTTTGACTAAGTTCGTATCGGGTTATAGGACTTGTTGGTATAATTGGTTGAGGTCCCGGAGGCCTCAGGGTGATTTCGGGTGGTTAACGGCTTGATGGGAGTTGAGGAATTTCAGCTGAGGCTGCTGCTACTGGTGTAACCGCACCTGCGGAGTGGGAACCGCATGTGCGAGCCCGCAGAAGCGAAGGAGGAGCCGCAGATGCGGCTAAGAAGGATATGGGCAGAGGACGCAGGTGCGATGGTATTCTCGCACCTACGATGGTCGCAGAAACGGATTTAGGGGCGTAGATGCGAGTTTGGACCGCAGGTGCGATGTAGTTCCCGCACCCGCGAAGAGCGCAGATGCGGTCACTTGATCGCAGGAGAGAAGGCAGTATTTTAGTGATTTTTTCGCAAAAACGGGGCTTTGCGCACAAATGCGCTCCGCAGATGCGGAAATAGAGTCACAGGTGCGAGAAGTCTGGGTAGAACTTATAAATAGAAGACTTCGAGATTTTTCACCATTTTCATCATTTTTTAGCTCGAATTTTGGGGATTTTGAGAAAGATTTCTGAGTAATCACTAAGGTAAGTTCTTTGTGCCTATTTATCACCCCTAGTTGGTGAGTGTTTGAGGTGAGATTTGGGAGACCAGGGCTTGGGAATTGGACAGCGAATTTTGGGATTTTGGAAGGGCAATTGAGGTCGAATTTTGTTAAATTTGGTATGGTTAGACTCGTGAGTGAATGAGCTTTCGGGTTTTGTAACTTCGTCGGGTTTCGAGACGTGGGCACGGGGGGCCGAGTTGAGCCGATTTCGAATTTTGGACTATATTTTAGTAGTTTTCTTGTGGAATTGATTCTTTTAGCAAATATTGATTATCTCGTACTGTTTGTGACTAGATTCAGGACATTTGGAGGCCGATTCGAGAGGCAAAGGCATTTCAGAGTAGGATTTCTGCGCGGATGAGGTAAGCAACAATTTTAAATCTGGTCATGAGGGTATGAAACCCCAGATTTTGGTATGATGTGACTATTTTGGAGGTGACGCACATGCTAGGTGACATGCGTGTGGGCGTGCACCATGGTGGATTGTGACTTGGTCCGTCCCGTGAGACTGTAAAGTTGAATAGCCTATTGTTAATTACATGTTCCCTCTGTGTTATAGAAATTTAACTGCAAATCATGTTAGAAATTATGCTTAGGCTATGTGATGTTACTGTTGGGACACGCAGAGGTCACGTACTTGTTGAAGTATTTGCTAATTGTTGTCTTGTACTCACTCATGGTTTTACTTGCGTATCATATCTCAGCCTCTTCTTGATTCTTGTTGATACACTATGTTATCTTTGTTTGGGCCGATCTTTGTGATTTTCGAGAGCCCGAGAGATTAGAGAGGTTGATGACTGAGTGAGGCCGAGGGCCTGTTTGTGAGGTATTGATACTATGGCACGTGAGTTGTCCGTGCAGTACATGAGTTATCCGTGCGATTCCACATATTGATACTATGGCACGTGAGTTGTCCGTGCAACACATGAGTTGTCTGTGCAGTTTCACATATTGATACTATATCACGTGAGTTGTCCGTGCAACACGTGAGTTGTACGTGCGAATATAGTGCTTGGGCTGAAAGGAGCCCCTCCAGAGTCTGCACACCCCCAGTGAGCGCAGGTACCTATTGAGTGTGAGTATTGAGAGCTGAGAGCCGAGTGATTTGAGCTGTTGTGACGAGTTGAGTAATCGTTGCCCTGAGAGGCTGTACTTGCTCTTCTTTTTTTTCATTTGTTGATGCACATAGTTGTTATTTGTCAATGTTGTGAAATTTTTGAAAGATTATATATCCGAATTTACCTGCACTGTAACTGTATAAAAACTGATTTGATTTGAACTGTCGGATTTGAAAGCATGTCTATTCTTTGCTGGAATTGTTGAAAATGAACGTATAGCTTGTCACTACTTTCTCATTTCCTTATTTATTTCTGTTACTTGCTGAGTTGATTGTACTCATGCTACACCCTGCACTTCATATGTAGATCCAAGTGTGTTCGATCATGGATGTCGTTGAGTTCGTGCGCGATCGAGCACCGGAGACTACGAGGTAGCTGCCGGCGTCCGCAGACCTTGTCTCTCCTTCTATGTTTTCCTTCTTTTCTGTATTGATACTTAGATACTGTTTTATTAGACTAGACATGTAGATGCTCATGACTCAGTGACACCCCGATGTCGAGCTATTTTTTCGCAATTATTTTTTATTTGGGTTTTACCCCCATTTTATGAAAAAAAAACTCTAGTTATTTTAAATGTTTTATTTTATTTCTGTTAAATTTTGAAAGTGTTTTAGAAAGGTCGGCTTATCTAGTATCACGATAGGCACCATCACGACGGGTTAGGTTTTGGATCGTGACAATTGAGAACCTAACCAAACGATCATGCAAGAAATACTAATAATTACATGAATCTTCATTTGGGGATTAATTGCTAACATGTATGACTTGTTATACTTTTTCTTTTTCTTGGTTAAGTGACGTTTTTAGTCATAAAAAGGAGAACGCTTCAGTTTTACTCCATAAATCAATTTGATGAATTATATAAGAGGAAGAAACATATTGATATAGAAAATAATTCACAAGTAGAAAGTTGGTTGCATTGGAAATGTCATGTGGACATTTCAACTGCTACTTGCAAGTTGCAAATAGGCAGTGGATTTATATTATTATATTTATTCACGTGACATCATTGAATCCTTTATTAAATTCCAAAAGGTTTTCGTTGGCACATCCACTCTTGAGACCCCTTTCCCCCTACAAGGCCCCTTTTCTTTATAGTAGTAGCCTTTGATATTGGCCAATTAATTCTTGTAAAATTAAAGAAAGTAGGTAAAAGTGTTGTGATATTTGAGGGTTGCCTAATTGGCAATTAGAGTGGTAGGTGACTATAGACGTGTAGATCATACGTGTTGACATGATCATATACCTTTCGCATTGGACAATCAGAAATATTTTATTAAAAAAAACATTTACTAAAGAATAATATGAATCTAACAAATTGCGTAGTGCTTTGATGGAATTTTGAGTGCTAAAGATGATATTAATGTTTTAGTTTGTTTTTTTTTCCATGAGGTTTAGGCCTATCACTACAAAAAAAAAAAAAAAAAAAAAGG